ATAGATCCCCCTTCACTGTTTTCTTGTCTGTGGAAGGTATTATTTCAAATCCCCAAACAATGCCTTATTTTGGTACTCTCTTAAGCCCTGTTCCATTGATGTTTCATATTCAATTTGGTAGTAAATCCATTATATTATAGTAAGCTGCAGAAATGAATCAAATCTCTTAATGATTTTTTTAAACTACTCAAAATGTATTAAAATGGATTTTCACTATACATTAAACTAACTATAAAAAACATATTGTTCCCCCCAAAGTTCAATCCGATTTGGTTTTAAATATAAGGTTTTATGTTCTCTTATCTCACATTAATTTTTTTAACCTTGATATCCCTATTTATTAGTTACTTTTTATTTTTGTGTATTAAATTTTAATCATTAATTGATGGGTTATTTTTGAAATTGTCATAATTTTTTACACATTAATTGCAAATAATCAATTTACTTCTTTTTTCTAAAAAAATATGGATTGGTTAAGAGGACGCTATATTTAGGACTGAAGGGAGTATAATATTTATAATTTATAAATACTATTAAATATTCTAGAAAAAATATTCCCGAAAAATTCTTAATTCCTTAAAAGTGATCTGTAATAAATAAATAGATATATTGATATATGAAGTTATTGTTTTAATAAGTGATAGATTTGTCCAATGTCCTTGTAATAAATTAAATTATTTCATGGGTTTTTTTTATTTATATTAACTATAAATTTTACAATTCATATTAATTATGTCATATGTAAAAGGTTAGCTTTGAATTTAAAAAAATATGATTATAGTGCTCATGTGCATGCTATGTCACTTTTTTGACCATCAACAAAGGACCGCTTTCCCACTGTTGACTTCTATCTTGTTCCCATAACAGCTTGTTGGTGAGGTCCCCACAAAATCCTAGCCCAAGTACATATGAAAATCCTTTGTTTATTTTTTTGTTTCGATTCTTCTTCATATCTTACCATAAAAAAAAAAAATCTTTACCTCATAATTTCATATTAAGTTAATGATTATGTAAATAATTATTAATTAGTAATTAATTTCGTATATTGTGGGTGCAGGGTGTTCGACCGTTCATTGAGCTTTCAACGGTCACGATGATGGTATCGTCATTGGACTTTGAAGAAACACTTGACATAAACGACATCGTATCATGTCCCCGAGCGTCATCTCTGCGATTTAGTCCGTCGGTGGCTAAGTCAACGGCTAGGGTTGGCTCGTGCTCATCCTCACGATTTGCCTTTACAGTGTCCCATAATTCGCTCCAGCCTTGGTACCTAGCCTATCTGACACGTCAGCCTCCAAGGTGGGACCCACAGGCCCCTCACCTAGGCATGTGGGCCCCTCACTCATCTCCCCGCTCAATGCTCGATCCTATTCATTCGCATCGCCTATTGCTCGTGGCTACCCACGTGGAGATATCAACGACGGAGGATTGATAAGACGAAACACATTGTCGTCTACTCCCATGCCACAACGCGTTACAGATAGAGAGGCTACCAAGAGGCCCCACTCTTTCTTCCAGTCACCAGCCATTTTCTTTCGAAGAGATTGCCATGTTCGCGGAAACGACAAGTCTCGAGATGAATTCTTGCCGTTTTTAAAGTTTTATAGAAGGCCGTACAATGAGATGATTTACAGGTCAAAGATGAGGCCCCCACTAGGTGGCCTCATCTCGATTGTGTCCCCACAATTAAGAAGGTGTCATGTTTCGGTGTCTCGGCGTTTATGAGTACAAAGAAATGTAACTATTTGGTATCGTAGTATTATTACATTAATGTAAAATTAATCTTTGTATGCTTGAAATTTTGACCCACTGAACCCGATTCTTTAATTATGACTCGATGTAATTTAATAGTTGAAGTTTTAACTCACGTATAAGTTACTCCCTAAACTTTCTCCATACGTATAAGTTACTCCCTAAACTTTCTCCATATTGCTATGACCCTCGACCTCCAAACCTTGTGTCCATATTCTCCATATTCAAACAAAGGAATCTGCAAATGGGGGCATGAGAGGAAGTGAAGACTATGTATGCCGCTGCTTTGGTTGTCTCAGAGCTTTTGACGCCTTCCAAGGCCCTTCTCCTTTGGGCTACTTTCACGCATGCGTGCGTCAATTTTGTCAGATTTCTCTCTGCAAAATGCATCTGTTTCTCTCTCTCTCTGTATGCCATATATCTATATATATATATATATATATGAGCATCGCCGGTCGTTTTTCACTGGTCAATCAACATGGATATTAGTTCATAATGACATTCTGATTTAATTTCCAGCACCCTGTGATAGCAGCATATTTGAGGTGTCTGAATTCTTTACTGATATTATATATATATATATATATATATAAAAATTACATCATATAATTTAAAAAAATTAATTAATTATAATAATTATATTTGAAGATAAAAAATTAGGCTAAAATATCTGTATTAATCATCATAAATATGTATTAATTGCTTCTTGTTAGTATGAATTATAAAAGGTAATTTAAAAAATATGTAATAAATATTTATTAAAATATGTAATTTTGCTTATAATATAAAATAAATTAAAAATAATAGTTTTTCTCATAAATAAAAATTGAGGGAGTATATGGTTGGAAAAATGACGTATGCTGTTAAAGTTGTTGTTCCTATCATAACTCATGCATGCAAAGGCTATTTCAAATTGAATCTACCTGGAAATCTTACGATAGATCAAGTTTTCTTGCATTGTGCATTTTAATAAGAGTTTGTATTGCCGTTGCAATGCACCTAATTTGAATTTAAATACACGATAATTTGAAAAAAGTAAAAACAAAAAAAACAAAAAACAAAGGAAAGAAATGGATTACAGTAGATGGTAAATTCAATGCATGGCCGGCATCTTCCCCATATTCCACACTCTCTCATGCCGTCTACTGTAATTTGATTCCGACTTAGTCTTCGTCGACGACATCGTCAAGAACCCAAGGTGAAGGTGGGAGGGAAGGGAGCTATAATTACAGAAAAGAGAAGGTTTAATTTTCAGAGGGAAGCGATGATCTCTTTAAAATATAAAACGGTGCAAAGAAGAGAAACAGGAAAAGGGAAGTGATTGAGTTTTGATTTGCAATACTACAAAAAAAAATATATTAAAGATATATTTTAGCATGTAGGATGACTTAGTATTAACTCATGATAAGTCATGCATGATCGAAATAAAATTATAAATGATGAAAAATTTAAAATTGAGTTATATGTGAATTAAAGGTTCAAAATTTTGAAGATCAAAAGATTAATCTCCTCTACATTAATTTACTACTTTTTTGTTTAAAAAAAAGAATTAGATCATGGGCTTCTCGAAGATTAAAAATTTGTACTGTTCACAGTTTTGTTCACAATGTGACTTGGGAGATGTATATCCAATTTACCTCTACCAAAAATATATTTAAGGGATCTAATTATTTGTTAAATTTAATAAAAATATATCTCAAATGTAATTTGAATGTACTTTTAAAATTACTCAAACAAGCTTGTATATTCTTTTGTCCACAGGCTTCAATTTCTAGTTTTGATGATATTCTATTATAGTTAGAGCTAGGACCCTAGGTGGGGAATAATATTTTAAAAAAAATTAATAATTTTAAAATAATTAAAATTAAAATTAATTAATTGTATATTTGTTATGTTACCGGGTTTTGAATTTAAGAGTTGAAAAACTTAGACATGAGTTTGAAAAAAGAATCAAATAAATTTAATGTTCAAAATATTAAAAAGATAAGGCAGTGACAGATCTAGATTTTTTTTTTTTATAGGCCAAATTTTCTTCTTTTTCTTCTACTTAGGGCAATTATTTTTTTATAACTTCTTTTAAACATGGCTTACCAATGATTAGATAAATGAAAATAAAATTTAAAATATCGAAGAGAAGTTAGTAAACTTAAATTTTAATTATAAGATATGTCTATATATTTTTTTAATACAAATTAGATATGCTTTTCTATCCACTATAGTTAAGAAATGTCCAACAGTATTAACAGTTTAAGAGTATATTGACTATCTTATTATATTTCATATTAATATGGATACTTCATTTTAAAATAAAACTAAATAAATAATCCAGAACTATTTACTTTTATTTCATTTTAGTGGAATTCCACTTGTAATTGTTTTCTTCACTGAAATGGAGGCTAGAGAGAAACAAGAAAGCCCCTAGAGTGGGCAAAGAATCAGGAGCTCAGCTTTGATCGTTTAATCAACAAAAAAAGTAGATCTCAACTTTCTCTATCACCATACTTCACCGTAAAAGCCATCCATATTGGTGCGTTTCTTCTCCTCCATTTCCTCGTTTCATTCATACAATTCTATATTCTGTGAACTTGGGACCATAATAAGTAATAATAACTTTGCCATTGAAATGAAAATTACTTATTCAGAGGGCTTCATTTCATCATCATTTAGGTTTGATACACACGGGTTTGTTGATGATGATTTCTTTGGTTATCTCATTTTCTGGGTTGAAATGTTCTGAATTAAGATGTGTCATACAACATTGCCCTTTACAAATCTGAATCCTTTGCCGGACCTTTTCTTTTTTGGGGAGGTTTCTCTGCTTATATCTGATTGCATTGAGATGCTATAATAGAAACTTTAGTACCGTTTATTTTCTAGTTCAAAATGATCTGCTTTTTTATTTAAAAAAAATTAATTGTCTGATATCTTGAGAAACTTGAGTATTATCAACACTTGCTTAGACTAATCCAAACCTCCACTGTGTGGCATTGTTATTATCAATGGTGGCCTTACGTGTATCATGGGGATGTCTTTGATATATTTATTTAATCTAACTATTTATCTCAAAACTTGAATTCAAGACCTCAAGATAAGTTGATTCAACTCCTTTAACCAGTTAAACGCCCCTGGTGAAAACAATCTGCTTAGAAATACTTAATTTATGCTAATATGATTACAGTTTTATTGATAAAATCAACCAATGCTTCATTTTCATGTTATAGAAATTTATCTTTGATCAGGCAACCATGAAAGGCATCATTTCTCAACACAGGACAGGTTTGGTTCAATTAGTACAAGGTGATAAATTGTGCTTTGGTTTGAGATTGTTAAGCACTCAAACTAATCCACAGCCTCCTCCAGAGAAAACTCACTTTGGTGGCCTCAAAGATGAAGATAGGATTTTTACCAATTTATATGGTTTGCATGATCCTTTTCTCAAAGGTTCCATGAAAAGGGGTGATTGGCATAGGACCAAAGATTTGGTACTCAAAGGGACTGATTGGATTGTGGATGAAATCAAGAAGTCTGGCCTCCGTGGGCGTGGTGGTGCCGGTTTTCCCTCCGGCCTCAAATGGTCATTCATGCCCAAATCAACAGATGGCCGTCCCTCATATCTTGTTGTTAATGCTGATGAAAGTGAACCTGGGACTTGCAAAGATAGGGAAATCATGAGGCATGACCCACATAAACTGTTAGAAGGTTGTCTGATTGCTGGCGTGGGAATGAGGGCTAATGCTGCTTACATTTATATCAGAGGAGAATATGTAAATGAAAGAAAATCCTTGGAAAAAGCAAAGCAAGAAGCTTATGAGGCTGGATTATTAGGCAAGAATGCTTGTGGATCAGGATATGATTTTGATGTTCATATCCATTTTGGAGCTGGTGCATATATTTGTGGTGAAGAAACAGCTCTTTTAGAGAGCCTTGAAGGGAAACAGGGAAAGCCAAGATTGAAACCACCATTCCCTGCAAATGCAGGCTTGTATGGCTGTCCCACCACAGTTACTAATGTGGAAACTGTGGCAGTTTCTCCTACCATCTTAAGGCGTGGACCGGATTGGTTCGCCGGTTTTGGTAGGAAGAACAATTCTGGGACAAAATTGTTTTGTGTGTCTGGCCATGTGAACAAGCCCTGCACAGTTGAGGAAGAGATGAGCATACCATTGAAAGAGCTGATTGAGAGGCACTGTGGAGGTATTAGAGGAGGATGGGACAATTTACTGGCAATAATTCCTGGAGGATCATCAGTTCCACTGATTCCCAAGAGTGTTTGTGATGATGTTCTGATGGATTTCGATGCACTTAAGGCTGCAAATACAGCATTAGGGACAGCAGCAGTGATTGTGATGGATAAGTCAACTGATATCGTGGATGCCATTGCAAGGCTTTCTTACTTCTACAAGCATGAAAGCTGCGGACAGTGCACACCATGCAGGGAGGGAACAGGATGGCTATGGTTGATGATGGAGAGATTGAAATCCGGGAACGCAAAGCTCGAAGAAATTGATATGCTTCAAGAGCTTACTAAGCAAATTGAGGGACATACAATCTGTGCTTTGGGTGATGCTGCAGCATGGCCAGTGCAAGGTCTCATCAGACATTTTAGGCCAGAGCTTGAGAGAAGGATTAGAGAGCATGCAGAGAAGGAGTCAATGGAAGCAAATGCTTTAGCCTCTTTAAAATAACATTGCTCATTGAATCTTTTCATCCCTGAGTTCTATTTTGAATTTGCTTGGTCTCAGTCTCAGTCTCAGGCACAAATGATTTAGGTATTTGCTTTTAGGCCAGACCTAGAGAAACAAAGGATTAGACATCATGCAGAGAAGGAGTTACTGGAGGCAAATGTTGCTTAACCTCTTTAAAATAAGGTTGTTTCCTTGGATCTTTTCATCTCTTTGTTGTATTTTTTTATTTTTCTTGGAAAGAAGTGTCTTTGCGTGTTATCTGATTTCGTCTATTCTTAAGGCTGAAAATAGAGACAATATATATATATATATATATATAAGTACTTTGTATTTGCTTGGTCAGAATATATGATTGGGTACTTACTTGTACTGGTAGGTTTTTTTTGATTTTTTTTCCCCTTGACTTTAGTTATTGGTGTTTGTAATATTTTTTTGTGTGATTAATAAAATTGACTGTTTGTGGCTCAGAAAAAAAAAAAATCCATGGTCAGGAACAAATGATAGGATGCTTGCTTTTGATTTTGTAGTTTAAACAATAGGTGTTGCCTCCAATTAACTATTTTCTAAAGAAGTACTTAATGCAAAGCAAGATGTTGCAAAAAGTGGAAAACAACTTTTTGATGAGAACAGCTTTTACAGCTTACCATATCAATTAAAATTGAAATCATTACATTTACATTATTGGCTGGAGACTATGTTTCCTGTGTGTTACTTGAGAGTTGGTAATGAAAATTCATTTATGTAAAACATGCGGATGTGTTTCAGAATGGCTTTCTTAGCTAAAAATGGTGTGATTTTTAATTACTGTTAGATTTTGTTGCTAGTAAATGATGTTCTTCTGGCATGCTTTATTTGTAACCATGTGGCATTTAGAAGCATTGGTTATTCTATTGCAACCTGTAAAATAACCGTAGTTGTAAACTTTTTTTGAATTTTTTTTAACTATTTATGAAAGTTAAATTGTCATCATCATGGCCACTCATGGCCAATTAGATAATGTTGACAACTAGAATATTTGATTAATGGAAAGAACAAAAATTATCAACTAGGCTCCCTATGCAACATTACATACAGATTAAAAAAAAAAAATAGGGAGAATATCATTGAAGGATCAATAAGTCTGACTATTTACAATTAATAAATTTTACAGCTTATTATAAATTTTATATTGACATTTATTGTCATTTACATTTAACTTGTACATAGATATATAGCTTGTGTGTGGTTTGTCATTAATTTGTCTTATTTTCTGTAGGGCATAATTGTATTGATGGATGGAGAGGGTATAGATAAAGAAAGATCCTCCATTTTTAGAAAGATTGGTTTTTTTTTTTCTCTCTTTTTTGCTTCTGCTCTAGTATCTTAAATCTCTCGAAGCTAATCTGGTCAGTAGCTCACAGATACCTCTTTAGGAGGATCTAAATAAGTTATATGAACCATATAATTACCATCACTTTACATAAACTCACTCAACCACTTGCTTTCTTATTCCCAACATTCAATAATGTGGGACTTGCTCCCAAATCATATCTTTATCCCTCCTCCCCCTCCCTCTGGTCTTTGATGATTTTTTTTTCTCTCTTGTTAATGCATATATTTCATTTTTGTTTTTCAGGCATTTCATCTTTGTTCTTCAGGTTTTATCTTAAATTTAGCTTTGATTTTCCTCTAGAAATGCTTAATGATCAATTTTTATTCCAATATTTCTCGAGTTCAAATGATTTCACATAGCTCAATTTTTGCAGTTCGAAATTATGTCAAAGTTATTCCAAAATAAAAAAAAAGTGTTAAAAAAAAAAAACATCAAACCCATCTTTGCAATTGGTCTCTAATAATATTATTTATTTTTTCTACCTATCCAACATCTACTTGATTTGAATCTTCCCATCACGATTATTATCCCCATGATTAAAATTTTGCTTGTATCATGTAACTCATCAAGCTCAATATTTTTAAGAATGTCTAAATCTCTAGTCCATCTTTCTAACGGTATAATTGTGCAAAACATGCCCACCACATCTAAATCACCTGGTCCATCTTTTTAATATATATATATATATATATATTGGATATTTTATATTTGTAAAACTTGAAAAATCTATACACATTGTGTATGAATTAAAATCATGATGAAAAATCAAGTACAGGGAATTCCAACCATTAATAAATGCTACGTTATTACCATTATAATAAACAAGAAGCATATCCTTAAGATTTCTATGTATATAATAAGTGTAGTAAATTATATAAAATGTTCAAGCGCTCACAATATTTCAGTCATTTAATTACTCTCAAAATTCTTATTTTCTAGATACCAAAATTGAAATAGTTTAAAAGTAATTCTAATGGGCAAAAGTTGACCATCTTACATGTCTATAAGATCCTTAACCTGATCATTATACATCCATTTACAATCTGTTCGGTCAGCTAGCCATGACCAGCTAGCTTACTATCAGGTCACCGTAGAAAATCAAATAAATATAGGTCCCAAGAATTTCATTTAATGACAGTTAAGTTTTAAAAATTTTTGCAAGATGAATTACAAATATCAATTCAGACAACTGCAAATATGAGAGTCCTACATGCAAATCACCAAGAGCCTCCCATGTTTGCTTGTCTTCAACTGTAACTCATCTTTCAACAAAAATTCGAAACCTAACTGTCACTAAATTGATCTGACTTCAAAATCTCATTATTCAATACTGTTGGAGGAGGCGTTGCATCTGTACATCAACCAATTTGATAACACAAATAGATTTCTGAGGTTAAGCAAGTCGAAGTGTTCATCTCAGGGTAACTTTCAGTTTGTTCTCCGCCAGTTCTCTAACCTTCCACTGCATCCAAAGGTTAAAAAAAAAAAAAAAAGCATCGCTTTCAGATTAAATATGATAAAAAGCTAAATTCTGAAAATAAATAACACCAAATTTCTGAGAAAACATCAATAACCTGGAGGTCGTTGATTTCTTCATCGGTAAGAGACCGTTCCATCGACCTATAGGCAATCCTATAGCAGTGGCTGGTCATTCCTTTCTTGTTGGTGAAATTGTCTATTAATTTCACCTAGTATTTCAAGAATATCAATAAGCAGGGGCAGAAATAGAAGATAACTTAATTCAGTTTTTGAAGACTTCTCTTACTGAATGAGTCTTCAGAGGTCTCTTACCATAACTTATTAATATTATTTATTTTCTGATTATTTGTTGGATGACCTGTTTAGGAACCATCTTTCTTATGTGCGCATCCAAACCGCCTACTGTGAACATGTAATCAGAGCACTCTTTCCTAAGTTATACTCTCAATACTATCATGACTCATACAATGATTTCAACATAATTTTTAATTAGTAGATATAATTTTGAAGCAGTATTTCAGAAAACCCAGAGGGACCATGCCCTGGTTTACTCAAATTTTAATAGACATAAGCAATTCTTCACCTCTCCCGAATAACAGAAAACACAAGGGAGTTGCTCAATTGATTCATAAAAACAGATCCTGCCTAATCAAGCTGGCTTTTATTCCTCTGTGAAATGCTTGAGAATAAAATCTCAAATGAACCTTGTCAGTGTGTGAAAAATATGGAAACGGATGAAGTGGATATCAGAGTAAAAAATGTGAAAGCCAGAATATTTTGCATACACGAGTGTTCAAAGGCTTACCTCCTCTACAAGATCTCCGGCAACGCTTCTGACAACTTCACAAAGATTGTTTTCAGTAAACGACTCATTGATCCACAAACTCATGTCCTTGTAACAAGGAGGATACTGTCAAAGACAAACAGGAGAGAATGTCATCCCATTTTAAGTACTAAAATTTTAATGCATTCAAGCAACAAAACTAATACAGATATCTTGTTATTGTTAAGACTCTAAGAACTGAAGAGATGGAGCCCCATAACTAATGGTCCACCAAGATTGAGGCACATGTAGTGTATGAAGTGTAAGAGAGTAGGCCAGTGGGGGGAAATATATATGAAGTAGCATGTAAGTGGGAGCGGCAAGGAAGACGAGTGTGGTTTAGGAGAGAGCCAGCCCCTCAAAAGCTAGTATGGTTAGTGTTTAATGCTATTTCCTTTGTAGTTCTTTTGCTGACCTACGCTCTGCCAGATTATTATTAATCTTAGAGCAAAGGGATGAAAGTACCCAAGATTCGTCGGCTAAAAACATCAAATAACTTAAAGTGAGAAAAAGTGCACAAATGCCCATGAAATTACATTTTTCAGCGCACATGTGACTAAAACATTAAATTTCATATCTACAATATAACAGTCAACATCTTTGACTCTAAACTATTTGGTCATAGATGCACCAGAAAAATAATTTCATAGACACCCGTGCACTTTCCTTACTTTAAGTTACTGGATAATCCTAGCCAACAACTTCTTAAGTATTTTTGCCCTTTTGCCCTTAATATCATTTTGAAGGTGAGTTCCATCATAATGACACTCGGACAGACAGATATCATAACACATCAAGCTCCCTGCGGTAAAATCTTGTGATGCAATTGCTCAGTTAAATGTTGCCCGTCTAGATAAAGAGATTCACATATATAAGACATGGATTGTTTGAAAACTTAAACTCTCAAAATCATATACTTTGAAGTCCAAATAACTGCATCTATCAGAATTATTACTGATCATACATTTAACATAAGAAACATCAAAGCAACCTACATATACACACTTAACTGCAGAACTACAACTCAAAATAACAGCACATGAAATGCAAAACAGCTATATAAGGATAACCAGCACATACAGACGCATGCCTCATGTAGAAGTTACCTTTGAAAAAGGCTTAAACTTGACTCCTAACTGGCCTTTCGAGAACTGTGTGAAAAAAGACAATATAGGATATTAGAGGAATATGAGCAGAGGAATATCAGGAAAAGAACAAGATAGGGTGAGGGAAATGTAATCAAATATGAGGGAGAGAACAAGGTAAGATGTGAGAAATGTAGCCAGTGATTTGTGACCTATACGAACCTCTTATTCATAGTGAGAGCCTAGGACAACATATGAAGGCTACTGATCACAGAATAAATACAAAATCATATCTCCCTAATTATATACAAATCAATCATCATCATCAACATGCAATATTTAAAGAGGCAAGTGCAACATGTTAGAGATCGTAAAGAGTGAATTTTGACTAATATGGACCAACTAAACCCAACAAAAGATGAATTAATGCTATTCTATCACCTCCCTCAAGATAATGCATGTAAACTAAATGCCCCAAGCTTTTCTAAAAGTATGCAAGCCTTGGGATTGAAGGGACTCCAAAAACCCTAATTGAAGAGGAAAACAAGATTAATAAAACAGCATGACAATCATAGAAACTAGCTTAAAGCCAGAGAGAGAGGCAGAGAAAGAGACTACAAATAAGAGCGAAATGGATGTGAAACGGAGTGCTGAATAAAGTGTTTGGGTGATTTGTGATTTCTTCGTACCATATGCTATTATTCTTGTTGGAGAATCGTGATTTACATTGATTATATATATATATATATATAATCCCACATTTATCTCTGATTTTGATGATGATTCTGAACTTAATTAGGTCTTAAAACATTATTTGAAGCATTTATCATTTTGGGGAAAAGGATAAATATTGGAAAGCAAATATTTTAAGTTTCCTGATTTTCATGTGGATTAACATTTCCAATGATTTCCTATGCAATATTAAATGTCAACTATTGATGTATTTGTGGATTAAATTAGAAAATTCCAAGTGTCCAAAAGGAGAAATTTTTGAATTAAATAAAATACATTTTTCTTTTACTCATTCCCTCTCTTCCACCTCACTTCATTTTAATTTTTGTTTGCCTTATTTGTATTTTTCTCTCTCCCTCCTCCAAAATGGTGCCACATGGTGCTAATTCCATGCTTAAGGACTTTCTTTTATGGCCTAAAGTTTTATAAATGCTACTTGAATTAAGTGGTAGATACTATATCTCAATTGGCTCATTTTATTATTTTAGGGTATGGCAACCATTTTAATGAGATCCAAGGGCCAGGATTCATTCTTCAAGGCCAAGAGACATCCAATGGATAGAAGCACATAAGCACTCAAAGAGTTTTTAAGAAAAGCTAATGAGCATGGTCGGCGATTCACCTAAGGGGAAAATCAAGGAATTATAGGTAGGTCTTCGTTGAGTTTATATGGAATCATTTTTAACCTTAATAAAATGAAAATTAATCATGTTTGCTTGGATGATCTAGATTGCATCTATATTACAATCCATAAAAACTAATAATTTTTGTAGTCCTTCAACAAGGCATTATCAATGAGAATGATGAATATCTATTTTCCAGCTTCAAGGGGAGTGTTGGAAAATATCTAAAGATTCTCTCTATAATCTCTCCACGATTCTTGCTTATCTAGCATTTATTCTGTATAACGTATAATCTGCTATGTATTGCCTTTTTTTTTTTTTTTTTAGGGATTGAGATTGCTAGCTTCTTTGTGGCATCTCTTCCTATATATGTGTGTATTCATCTGACTTCATACATAATATGCAAAGAAAAAGAGACAAAAATTCTCAAGTTTCAAGACGACTACAACATTGACATCAAATCTGAAGTCTAGGACAATGAACAAAAGACTAATTGAACAATGTTGTTAAGCATATACCTGGGAGGTAAATCTCTCATCAGATGACCAAAAGAGACGTATATCTGGTATGTCAAAAAGAACCATAGCTAACCTCTCCAATCCTAGGCCAAAAGCCCAAGCAACATTATTTGCTTGACCATTTCTATTTAGAATTTCTTGCTCTGTCACCCCACAGCCTAAAACTTCTAACCACTTTTCCTGGAAATAAAATGTCAACCATCAGTTAACTCTGTACAAACATGAAAGCGAATGTTCACTTTTTGTCAATTGTTTTCTCTACTTCTTTTTGTTTCTTATAAATATGCAAAGGCCTGAATGAGGTTTCATCATATTCTAGAAGTTAAGTGTTGGGGAGGTCCTGTTCATATCAATGCCATCCCTAAATTTATTAGAGGCTCTAGTTAATATAAAAGGCAATAAATGGGGCTCAGAGCCTAAGGCAACATTACTCATTCTTCTTTGACATTTTTGTGAACCATACCTTCCAGTAATCCTCTTTTTTTTTTTTTTAACCTTCTACATTTGTTACAGGATAATTTTCTATCCTTCTATGATCCACTCTTCTTTCTCTTAATAAATTCGTCTTTATACCCAAAAAAAATAGTCTACTAGCAATCAAAATTAAAGTACATTAACATCTAATTACAGCATGGTTTCCCAAGCAAGAATAATGTCAAAAAACATAATAAACTTCGTATGTTTACAAAGCTACCCGAGAAAGTAACTTGCCTGAAAATATATCTCAAGTTCAAATGATGGATTAGTAAACGGGAAATAAGTGTCCACCCAACGCATTTCCACTGCACCTGCAATTAATAATAAATATAACCATATGGGACTATGAAGCAGTGTGGGAGAAAATTTTCTGATTCTCATTGATTGATTCAAAAGTACAAGACTAGGCTATATATACACATAAACTAACAGTATATAAATATAAAAAGCTAATAAAGACCAATAGAGATTATACACTTAGCACTTGGTAACTAATCCCATCTAAAGGAGTATTTACAATAAATGATGAATATTGCCACAGGCAGTACATGGGAAAGTATTATAAATGAGCAATTTGCAAGTAAATCATAACTGGATTTAGATGTCTTGTTATTTATCAATTTTTTCTTTTTTCTTTTTTTTCTTTTTTACTTTTCAACGAACAATTTAGCATTTTATTATAGTTTGAACGTTATCTTTTTCTTCCAGAATTTTGAAATAGCAAGGTGAATTTTATTCCAGAATTACTTTTGGTTGATATTTTTTTTTCCCTTTGCTCGGTAATATTGACTGAAGTTGGAGCAAACCAAACATATATATATATGTATAGATATATATAGACATATACTTATTGACAGTAGCTTATATACACCCAATGCATTTTCACTGTACTTGCAGTTAATACTAAATAAATATAACCATATATGACTGCGAAGCAGCATAAGGGAAAGTATTATGAATTAGCAATTTGCAATAACATTATAACTTCAGAGGATTCACATAACTAGAATTATATGCCTTTTCAATTATTTTAAAAAAAAAATTAGGAAAATTTAGCAAGAAAATTATAACTTTAGAAGATTCACATAAATGAAGGTGACGACCACAGTCACACATGCATCTTCACACATGACATGTATGAAAGTGCATACAATAAAAATTCAGTTTCTACCAAGTCCACATTGGTTCTTTCATATTCTTTAAGTAAATTATTTTCCAAATGCATAATGATAACGCAATTGCAGCAACTAGTTACATAATCTGTTTGGGAATACCAAATAAATGGCGTGCTAGCCCCTCAAGGCATTTCTTTAAGTCGGCTGCTGCATAGGAAGTGGCATCCATTCCTGATGGTTCCCATTCATCTGGAACAAAAACCCGGAAGCCTTCCATCTACACAATCAGACAGCTAAGAAATTTAAAACAGATAATCATTAGAAAAAATTTATTCCTGGCTAAGGCAACATACCTGATGGAAGACAGGGTAATGAGTTGAATCAATTGAATCTCTTCGATATACATCTCCTGTAACAAGGAAATGAGTGTATCCTCTTCTCAATAACTCTGCCTGATGAGCACTTGTATGGCACCTTAGAACAGTTAGAGGGTCTATGTAGTATGTATCGTTATAACTCCTACTCACATGATCCTCAGGAACCAAGACATCATCAAAATTCTGAAATGATAGGAAAATCATCAGCAAAATATACTACCATGAAGTTCAAAAAACCTGAAACCAGCCAAGGAGCAATCTATTCTCCTTTTGCTACTCTCTACAAAGTACTGGGCACATTTAGATTGCAAAGGCTGGAGATGGTAGTAATAAAGCTAGTACAAACTGATAATGGGAAAAAGTATCAGTAAAAGCACAATAATTCTGCTCTAACAGTACAAGATTAACATTAATGACATGTCAAACAAAGCTTCATTAGTATGATATTTGCAGAATGTCTAAGTCTAACAAGTAATGAAAATCAACAGCACCCTTATATCTTAAATCAGTTTCATTTAACTCAGAATTGGGGGGGACCTTTGGCAAGAACAAGAATGCTTGTATTTTATAGTCGTGTACAGCATTTGCAGTAATTTGGTGTTGGTGAGAAAGGAAAACTCTCATGTTTAATGGCGTGTAATGGTTTGCCCAATTTGTGGGACATAGCTTTTTGCAAGTTCTTTCAAGTAAAAGAATAGATGAAATCATCTTATCAGAAGGAAACCAGGCATGTTATAAGGCATATATGCTATAATATTGCAAGAAGCTGTCCCAAGCCAAGTTCACAAACCAAATGCATAAGGCAATACATGCTCAATCAGCTTCAATATAGGCCCATCAATTAAGTCTCAAAGAATCAGCACTGTTTCGTTAAATTGATGATATCATATGATCAAATCATAGGAACAAATATATAGAAATCATTTGGATGAAAAAAAAACTAGAGAACAAAAACAATTTCAGAAAGGAATGATTGCAGTAACTTTCAAAAGCTTTCATGTTCTATTTTCGGTGGCCCAATAAGTCTTGAACCTTAAAAGTGCATTAGACTTACTTTTTCCAAGTCAGAGGTATTGTTCAAAAATATTGTTGACATTTCCACAAGTGGAATGAATTACCAATTACTTTTCTCTTCTAGCCTCTAGTGGTGACAAACAGGCCAGTAACATGCCCTATTCATTGGAACTATCATCATGAACGTTGAAGGAAACAAACATAAGAACAGCACAAGAAATACTAAGATTTTTTTAAGGAGCAAGGACTTCATCATATCCATGGCCAGCAAAAGTTAGCAATGGCAATACGTCATATAGAAGTCATGTGAAAGTGTGATACTAAGTCTTAATTGTCTTTTAAAACATTCACTCAAAATAAAAAACGTCCTTTAATATACCTCCTTCACTGAAACAATGGGACAAAGATCATCAAGCTTATCGAACTTGTTTGAATAATTGGAATCAAAGTATTCATATATGGCATTCTTCAGTATCCCAAGTGGGTGTTGATCTCTCCTGTGAAGTTGCAACCCAAGTTTTGAAAATATGGTGTCTGGCACATTATTTGTAGGATCATCCTTTACCACATCTAAGAAACCATAATGAATCAGTTACAAGAACATTATGAAATAAAACAATTAACAATAGAATATATACAAGAGACAAGCACAGGTACGGTAGGAACGGTACTGAAAAAGCATCCACAAAACCCCCAAAAAACATCCTTCTCAATTGTATTAGTTGATAAAAATTTCCTCCAAAAAGGCCAGAAGAGACTGAACATCAATAAAATGACTTCAATATGATTCAAATTTCAGGCCCAAAGAAAACGAGCAAATTGGTCATGGGCTCATAACATTCTATTATAGAATTTATTTTCATAATAGATGCTTCAGTAATTGATCTGTTTAAATTACATAAAATGAATGAGATTCTAAATGTAAAAGCTGAACTTACTTTTCTTTTAAACTTGTCAGCATAAGATCCCAATTCAAATAGGATGTTTAAAATATGAAATTTGCAGGTAAATACTTACACACACACACACACACACACACACATATATTTAACTACCTTCCCTAGAAACCTTGACACCACCAAGCTCCAACACTGAGACAACTGGCCGCTTCCATTTCTTTCGTGAAAAGTTGTTAGTAGAAACAGAACTAGCTATTGATGAGAAAGGTAAACAAAATGTGAAGCTTCTTAGAGTATCACTTCGACAAAGCAGTGAGGCCCCAGAGAAAAGTGTGGCTTGTACAGAAGAGAGAGCCGTTGCCATCCAAATAAGAATAAACCTTTATAGAGGATAAGTTTAGCTCACTTAACGAGAGAAGCAGAGGCAAGATTTACAGGGAAGTCGATCCACTTGATAAGCTCATATCATTTACTGCCTTTGGTGTGTGACCAGTCGCTGTGTAAGAATGACACTTCTGTCAAACATTTGATGCGGGATAGAGTTAACATTTTGATCACTTAGACATGTATAATCATTTTTATAACTTATAAATAAGTATAAATTCGCAAACAGGCGTTGATGGAGAAAGAAAGATGCTGTCTTACACAAATTGAAGGAGCCCTGGTTGAAGAACAAAGCCAAGATGGAAGGAGGATGACGAAGAAGAAGCTCAATTGCTGCAATAGAGCCACAACCATGAGGCAGGAAATTAGCAGAATAACAATTGCGTCACAATGGAAGCAACAGATAGGGGTCCAGGTCAGGTCGGACTAGGATCCTCTGAGCAGCGTTCCTCTGTGCTGTGCGGCAGGTGCATCGAAATCGAGATCGTTCACTTAATCCGAGAGTTCGAAAGATTGCCACGTCACCCAAACCAATGTTTTATTTTTGGATTAAAATTTATTTTTATCTCTCAAGACTAAGACTTAAACTTAATTATAAATCAATTATATTTATTAATATTAAAAAAATATTATTATTTTGAGGTTAAAAAATTTAATGATTGTTAGTTAATAGTATATTTCATTATTTTTTAATATTTTTATTACATTAAGGGTTTTTTCCTTCAATTTTTATTTAAAAGGTCACTCTCAATTCAAATATTTTATAATAAAATATTATAAAAAATGTAATGTACGACCTATTAACAGTCAATTAATAATAAAAAACAATATGATAACAATAGTAAAAATCTTTAAAATTAAAAAATATAATTCACTCATAATTAAATTTAAAATTCCTAATAACCTTTTAAGTAAAGTCAAAAGTCATGACCTTTTACTTTTTTCTAGATAATATAATTTTAAAGTTATAAATCTTCTCTCAATTTGACAATGCTCCCTCATAATTTATTGAATCAAGAAATTTTAAAAATTTAATTGTACAAAAAAAAAAACTAAAATACTAAAAATTTGATCAGTCATTGAATAATAGACACTAATTCAAATGTTAATAGTTAAAACTGTAGTCGAATCATAATAAAACTTATCATAAATAAAATATTTTATTAAACCTATTAATTTATTGATTTAATAATTTTATAGTTCATCCAGGTTTGGATGAATTAATCTAGATTTTCATATTATACAAAAAAATTATACAAAACCAATTATTTCAAATCAAGAAAAATATGGAATCTAGTTATTTTAAATTATTGAGGATCTCAAAGAATTCAGAACAACTTAAAACAACAAAAGTTACATTTTTCTAGTCAAATTTTTTAAATCTGCGCCATTCTTTTTACCAAAATCAGCATCATGCTTTTTTTTTTTAACCTAGCATGCTTTTATAAATATAGTAAAGTATTCTCCAAACAATGTCAGATTTGAAGATAAACTATTTTTTCGCAACCTCAAAATTTAAATTAAACAAATTATTATTTTTTATTAATAATTCAAAAAAAATTAATATGAGAAAAAATATTTTTACAAAAAAATATTAAATATACGAACCCTACTTTTTTCACCAATTTTTAAAATTGATTATTGGTATTTCTTCCATAATTGTACTATAATTCTTACTAAAGCTTATTTATTTATTCCACAGTTCATGTGAGTTAATAGTTTATAAAATAAATTGTTAAGTCCCTTATTTATATTTATATTATATTTTATAATTGTATGTTCTATATTTCTTTTATTTTTGGTACAGTATTTGTATATCAGTATTTCTATTTTTTTAATAAAATATAATTATTTATTCATTTGTTGTTGGGCTTAGTCCATAGTTCACTCTTGGTGGGTCCGGTTCAGCCCAACCCATTATTTGTGGTTGGGTTCTGTTAATAAATAAAAATATATATAAATAATATAATATGCCCAGATCCTAGTACATTTTCATACCCAATTCACCTAAATTTTTTTTATTATAAATAAATTAAAATGTACAACTTTTTTTTTTTGGGGCCAGAGCATGCATGTTCTATCGATTGTCAGAGGGTGTGGACCTAGGAGTTGAGTGTGTGTGGGCAGTCTGCGAATCTAAAAAGACTTTCATCTCTTCTTCATTAATGTATTTTAACTAAAAGTAACATAATCATAATGTAGTGACTATCTCGTTTTATCCTCTAAATAGATGGTGGGAAATTCGATTCTTCACTTATATAAATGAAAAGCATTTTTTAACCAATCGTTTGCCCTCTTAGAGGAGACCTAACAATGAAAAGATTAGTCATTTTTATCGACAATGGATACCCTAAGCAACTAAAAAAATAAAAAGTAAAAGTGACATTTTGTTCACATTTAGCTAAAATATGCCTTCTACTTTTAAATTTTTATTTTCAGTCATCTAATCATTAACTAATAGTTATTACTCTTGATATATTATTTTAAATTTTTATTTATATTTTAAATTTATTAGTCATACAAACTAATTTATTTAGTATTTTAAAAAAAAATTAAATACATACTTCATCTTTTGAAAAATGTAAAGTATTTTAAACTAAATTTTACTTCTAGTAAAATAGTTACTTGTCCTCAAAATAACACCATATTTTCATATTTACTATTTAATTGGGTATTTTATTTTAAAATAAATATAAAATTATTTATTCATTATGGGCATTTTGGAGAAAAAAATCAATGATTATACCTTTAAACACTAAAAATATTTTATATTTTTTTACATCCAACTCTTAAGAAATAACCCTTAAAAAATGCTTTTGTATTTTTAATGAAGGGAGTTGATCTACTAAAATAATATTTCAAACACGTATCTGTAGGAAAAAAAATTTAATGGAATAAGAGATAAATTAGTCAATATAGTTATATTTATGTTGATTTAAATTTATAATCTTGATTAATGAGACTAAAGAGTAGGTTTTAAAATAAAGAAGTCTTTATATTCTAACAAAATAAAAGAAATGCTAGCGTATTTTACTCTATAATTTATTAATCTGTGTAAATTAAATTTTGAAGAATATTTTCATTTAAAAATTTGTTATGTTCGTACATATTAAAAATATAAATAATATTTTATTTTAGAATATATTATCATATGTAAGTTAAAATTTAAGGAACACTTCTTCTTCTTATTCTTTTTTAAGATATCCTTGCAGTCAGCACATATGAAACTAAAATTTTAACGAGATGATATTATAAGAAATGACTTCTATTTGCAATGTGCTACTCTTATACATACTAAAAATATTATTATTTTTTTAAATTTCTTACATACTATAATTTAAAATATAATCTAGCTCGTTCTTTTTCAAATGTGTTGGCTCATGTATAACCTTAAGGAAAATAAATCATATATTATAATGAAGCGTACTACAATTTGTCTGATAATATTATTTATAAGTTATAATTATAATGGTTCTAAATCAAGCAAATAATATAATCCATATTTTACTACCATTTATCAATCATACATATAAGCATTGCAAGTAAATAATGGTTATTAAGAAAAGATTAAGGTGTAGTGGAAGACAAATTCATTAATATTATATAATTAATTTGCAACCATATTTTTTGTTGCTTAAACCTAAGGCACATAACTATGTCAATATTTTTCATAAGTGTGTTTAAATCATAATCAACTTATATATATATATATTATATAAAATAATATAGATTTTTATTCCTTATGTATTTGAAGAATGTAACAAAAACTTGTTTTATATAGTGTTCACACAAAATATTTTAATTTATTACCCTATATTAATAATAAATATTTCCTCTGCAAGATATTTTTAACTAAATTTTATTCCCAATAAAGTGATTATTTGTCTTCAAATAAATTTTATTTTTTTATATTTACCTCTATTTAATAAATTATTTCACTCTAAAATAAATAAGAAATGGTTTATTCAATAAGGACACTTTAAAAAAAGTAATTATTATACTTTAAAAAATTAAAAATATCTTATATTTTTTAATGAAAGGAGTATATAAAAAAATTCGTTGTATATTTAATACCTATTATTTTATCAAAAATCTTATATTTACTATTAATTTTTAGAATAAAATCCTACATGATCTTTTAAAATATAAAAAAATCTTATTATTTTTACACCAAATTTATAAATGTAGACCCCACTTATATATTTTTATTTACTATATCATATTTAAAAAATTAACAAATTTGGATGTACCATACCCATCCAACAAATGAAAAAAGAAAACAAGAAGAAGAAGAAGAAGAAGAAGAAGACGAAGAAAACATAGATGGAGATTGGTAACAAATTAAGGGCCCATTTATTTAAGATTAAAAAATAAGTAATTTTAAATAGTTTAGATATTTTATAAAAAGAGATTTATTTTATAGAAATTTTATAAAAAGTAGATATTATTTTATGTTGGTTATAATAATAGAAAATTGATTATTAGTTAGTTATTGTATATTTTATGATATCTTCCTTGATTTTTTATAAAAAATTAATTTATTATATTATTTTAAAATTTTATGATATCTTCACGTATCCCACCTCTTTAAAACACTCTCTCTTATTTACAGCAATTGATTATTTTTAAAAGGTACTCAAAATAAATTTTTAAAATAATTAGATACTTGTTTTTTTTGTCAAATTTTGATTATTTTTAAAAGTCTAAACAAGCATCATAAAAACTCACAAAATATATTTTTTTCAAAAAAAAAGTCGTAATTTTTTCATGAAATAAGCTAAAACAAACAAGCTCTAAAAAATGAAAAAGTTAGATGATATTGTTATCTATAATACCATCCAATAATGACAAATCTATATAGATATAGATTTGAGATGTTTGGGGACATTTTTGATAAATCATTATTCATTTATTGTTCACCCAGACAACCCAAATTTATATAGATATAGATTAATGGGAAGGTATAAAAAGCCTAAAAACTACATCAAAAACAATCCTTGGGCTAGACAAATCCAAGCAAACATCATCTATGATGCTGTCATGACAGCTCCTCCGAATCAAATTTCAGAGTGCGTCGTTTCTCTGTCCGATATTCGATTGACGTGATTCCAAAGGCCACACAAAGCTTATAAAAGGTTTTACTTGTGACCCAATTTTAGAGAAACCCAATGGTCGGGTTAATATTTGGATATCCGGATGCAAAAGTGTGGTTTTTGTTGTAAAAATCATTTTCAAAATTATCCAAATCTCATCCTAATGGCCACAAACTTGTGGAAACACTTTGGACACATCAAATAGGACTAAAAACACCTGATGATAGAACATTTTAAATGATAGAAAAAATCCTTTATACCAAAATTTGACCATCTGAATGTCATTCCCCAAATGGACCCTACACTCCTAAAATGCACAAATCACATAAGAATGGCCAAAAACTATTCCAAATATCATATACACATATGAATATACACGCTAAATATTTTCACTTGACTCGGAGATCTCTGTGGGGCCCACGCACCCACCCTCTCTATCCAAGGTGTAGTTTGCTCACAGCACACCACTTGTAATGCAACCACTTTGCATTTGCTTGTGGAATCACATATATACCAAAATAAATATTTTTATAGTAAAAACTTGGTCTACTAAATAAATCCATCAAAGCCACACACCATAGCCAAGTTTCCTAACCACAAGTCTACAAGTAAACAAAAATTCATGCACAAGCCATACAATCACGCATACTCACACACACATATACATAATCATATCCTACTGGTACTCTAATTTTAAATACATTACAATAGATTTGCTCAAAAAAAAGGATTGTAGTTCTTTACAATTCACAAACAATCCCTAGCTCCGCACATTTCCCTGTCCTCTACTATTTCCTTCGCCTGTGTACTTGAAAATATTGAAAAGAAAGGGGTGAAACAACCACAATCTTAATAACAAAGAAATCTATATATTGATATTACAAAGTAAGCTATAATTGCATAAACGAATAATAAATTCAACATAATATATAATTTAACCATTGAAAATGTATGAATGCATGACATAGGCTGGTATGACTTTCATGACCAAATAAAATCTCCTAGCATTCTTTAACTTGCAGGTAAACCTTTTACCTACTTATACCTCCACAGGCACAAAACATAATCTAAAGTATGATCTAATCCACCGAACCGCCTATGCCCCTTCGATGAGAATCTTGAGCAATCAAAGCTAACTTCTCTCAAAGCCAACCCGACTTACTCTCCATGTGAGGGCTACCTTGGCCTAAACACTCAACCTCACACTTCATATGTCAGATTCCCCTCCCCTACTGAGAAGTGTCGAACACTCAATATACTAACCACTTTAGTGCGCTGAGCTCACAATACATAAGGCAACACACCGAGTACTGGCAATATACCATAGAATATCAAAAGTTTACACCTTCTCATTGGTAAACTCCCACTGAGATCATGCCTTTTATTCATGTCTACCTTTTCCCGAGTATTAAACTACTTCAATACTCTAAGGTAGTATAACATTTATAAATCTCCCTTAAACAGTTCCTTAGCCTATTTAAGATACCTTACTTAGTTATACTTCCTTAAGTGTAACTTTTATTTCTTATGATTACAATACATGTAAACAAATCTCGTTTTCATAAAAATATTGTTATTAAACAATTAGAAAACATATTTGCATGTAATCAAAGTAGTACCCCATAACCCTTTATAACGCACATTTAATCTTTTAAACATGTAATGCATGATAGCTAGTAATATTTATTCAAAAATAGCTAAACCAAAGTAATAATAAATATAAATTTTCCCTATTATCTCAACCTTTTGGTACCAAAAGGGTTCCTCTTGTACAAAATAGGACTCGACTTGTTTCTTAACTTATCATAAGTTCCACCAACAATTCCTACAACATATAAGTGATCCACATCACTTATCATGACAAATAGCATTAATGAAAACTATAACTCATACCACAAAACTTGGGTCTATGAGTCATAATCCATCCCAATGGTCCATGTATTAAACTAACTATTCTCATAATACCACTTAACCACCAAACCATTTATTAGAAACTTTTACTTAGTGTCACCAACTTTCACCGTTAGCCCTTATATGAAAACTAAACCTTAATTTAAATCTTATTGGGCTCAAATAGCAAAATTATAACTAAATCAATAGGCTTAAATCATTGAAGAGAAAAACCCAACCTCTTGGGTTTGATTTGTGCCTAAAACACCTCTTTTCATCCAATTATCCACTCAAAACATTAGAACACCATATAGAAACTCAAAACAATCTCCTAATGACCGAAAAGAAACTAAAGCTTATAAGAATAAAGCCTTTGAAATCAAAATTCAAAAATTTTCTCTTCTAAAAATTGAAGAAAATCAAGAGGAAGGAAAGAGATTGAAGTAGTAGGGGAGTTTACCTATCGTGTAGCCGAGCTCAACAACGGTAGCAAAGCCTCCTAAATTCAAGCCTAACTCCTGCTCTTGCCCTTCTCTTCTTCCTCTCTCTCGTTCGTTGCGTTTCCTTTTTTTCCTTGTTTCATTTCTATGTTTCTACATCTGTTTTTCCTTCAAAATGCTGTGATTTAAAATTTCAAGAAAATTATAAAAAAGGGTCCAATATTTTTTATTATAACACAAAAGATCGAGTCAACTTTGATAATTTTTTCATAGTGTAAAATTAAAATAAAACCTAACTTTTGCTTAGTAAAATTTAAACTCTGGACCTC